ATAGCTTTGGCCTTAGGAAGGTAGCCATGCTCACTAATGGGCAGAGAAGCCTGGGGCACTCCCAGACTCTTGGGAACAAGGCCACATTCTGCACTACTTTGGGATTAGACCTGGTGCAGTTAGGACCCTATGATTAAAATTCTCTTCAGTTGTTTGCACACTCTAGTGAGGCCTGAATATCAAACCCCTGTGCATTATTAGATTTATTTCCCTCCCCCTCAAAAAAAACAGAGGACCAATGAGGCACTTTGATAACTTCCAGGAAGGCAAGTTGGGAGAGTTCTGGATTTGGGCTTTGATTTGACTGTGGATGGACAGTGGATGCTTTTTGTCATATAGAATCTTTATTGCTTGTTAAATCTTTTTTGTGTGTGTTAACAAAGCCACAATATTTTTTTTTTCTAAGACAGGGTTTCTCTGCGTAGATTTGTGCCTTTCCTGGAACTCACTTGGTAGCCCAGGCTGGCCTCAAACTCACAGAGATCTGCCTGGCTCTGCCTCCCGAGTGCTGGGATTAAAGGTGTGTGCCACCACTGCCTGGCGGGTGACAAAGCCTCAATTTTCATGAATGTTAGGGAAGTGCTTCTTGTCACTTGTCACTACACCAAGAACACTGCACAATTTAGCCCAGTGCTTCCTGGGCTGTTTCATAGGAAACACAGAACCCATACAGCAACTTAAACTCTCCCTCAGTTTTGTTTAGGATATACAAATTTGCAGAGACACATCTGTCCCAGAAATGTCCAAGTCTATAATATCACCAAGCCATGCTGGGAATGAGCCACACGCAATCCTTCCTCCAGCTCTCTGGAAAAGGATTCTCCTCAGGTGGACAGAGCTGGCCATGGGCATCGGGAGCAGCCACAGAGCTTTAAAAATGCAGTAGCCTGAGTCAGACCCCAGATCAGCAGGAGCAGCATGTCTGAGGACAGGACTCTAAACTCAATCACCACCTTCCTTGGAAGAAACAGAGGAGAAATGGGCAAGGGCACAGACAAAGCCCTGTAGCTACAGATGCAGAGATCAGAATTAGGAAGCTGTAAGCCAAGGCACTCCTGGGGTCATCAAGAGCTGGAAGAGACTAGGGAGAGTTCTCTGTAGCAGCCTACAGGAGAGCCTAGGTTTGCCAACACCTGCATTTTGTTTGTGCTTTTATCCTCAGAGCTGTGAAAGGATAACATTCTGTGTTATTAGCCCCTCCAAATTGTAGTGATTTACACTATTATTATAGTGCCCTGGAAGTCAACAGGACTTGCTATTGCCTTCTCATTTCCAGTCACAAAACCGGGACTCCTGCAGTGGAATACATTTTATTTCACCGAGTTCTGGGTTCTAGGGGGGTGGTTAACAGAGCTGAAATTGGTTCTGCATCAGGAGATTTACAGTTGGAGCACAGTTATTTCTATGTTGAAGACACCATTAATTGTTCTATAAAGTGCAAAGTCAAGAGGCTGGAAGACAGGTCTAGAATTATCAGGATCATGTCTTGGGTGTCATTTTCACTAGAGTTTGTCCTTCACTGGATGTTGCTGAGCGGGGCCCATGGCAGGGCTCACAAACATGCCCAAAGCTGGTGTGGCTCAGTGGGAGAGTGCTCCCTAGGCTTCCATGCCCAGCTGTGCAGGGAAAAAAACCACAGACTCTGCCGTGCTTGTACCCACTGCTCTCTCAGAGTTAGGAGTCTGCCTGTCTTGGACCAGACACACCTAAGTGGGGTTTCTTGCCTAGCATTGGGTGCAGGATCCAACTCCATTTTCTCATCAGCCCTGACTTCCCCAGCTCTGTGCACAGGAGAGGATCCAAGGGGAAGGGAAATGAAAATGGTGCTGACCATGACCCAGTTCAGAAAGGACTCTAAAGCACATTCCATTCATAAAGTATTCATGGGTCTAAAAGCCTTTCCAGGGGCTTGAAAGTATTTGTCTAGATCCGGATGGATCCAGGTTGGAATTCTAGCTCAGCCACTTACCAGTTAGGATGGAGTTTTTAGGAAAGTTATTTGACCTTCTGGATTGTCACTGTTCTCACTTTCAAAATGCAGTCTTTCCTCACAGTGTGGCTGGGGCATTAACAGAAAGGCCTACTCTAGTGGCTGGCACAGGGCAAGTCCTCAGAGGTGCTGCAGATTATCACCAATGTTTACCTTTCTTGTCAATGCAGTTACTATGTTCTGTCCCAGTCTTTCTCCTCAGGGTCTCCCTTTGTCTTAAGATTTAGTGGATAAAGGATAGTATGATAGGGACAATTTGAGCTACTCCTACGATTAGCAATTTAAGATTTCTTCTATTCCCCCAAATTAGCATATGTTTGGATACTAGAACTGTCAATGGTCTTTTTCCTGCATGTGGTGGAAATGCTGGGTATGGTAGAGGTGAACTACTACTGAGGAACAGCGAATACCGGAAGTTCTAAAAGGGGTAGGTATTTTAAACAGCACATGGGATCGTTACATTATTGATAGTGTTATGCTGTGGTGGATCATAAATAATACATGCATATCAGTCTCTGGTGCACAATTCTATATAGACAAGTTTTTTTTCTTATTTTGAGTTTAAAGAGAACTGACAGTTGGCCATAAGTCCGCCGAATGTTCATTCATGCAGTTTAAACCTGTTTAAAATAGAAAAGGAAAAGAAAAAACAAACTTCAGCAAAGCACATACCTGATTAATACAACCATGCCAAAATATATCCCTTATTTTTCGGGAGGAATGATGCAGTGCATTTTGGAAACAGGAAAAAGTCTTAAAACACTTTTTACAACAGAAGTGTCCTATTGACAAATGTTACTTTCCAACCGAGGATAATCTTCCAATTAAACTTGGCTTTTATGGTACAAACAAGAAACTCACAAAACAATTATTCTCTGAAGCACTTCCTTTCCATTTTTCTACCATATTAGCTCTAAGAATGTATTCTATTCTATACTTTTTTCTCTTTCTTTGCCTCCCTTGGGATAGAACCCAGGACCTCCCACTCACTAGCATGCACTTTAACTCCGGCTATATCCCCAGCCCTTGTCCTGGACTCTCTGGGTATGCCTAGCTAGCTTCAACTACAAGATGCCCCGTCCTCAGCCTCCTGAGTGCTGAGGTTGCAAGTGTGCATCACAATTGCCAGCAAAAAATGTTTTATCTGTTTATTTTATTTACTTTTTATTTAAGAAGGCAAGGCTTCATTTACACTTATCTGAGGCTTGACTAGAGTTCACTGTGTAGCTAAGGATGACCTTGAACTTCTGACACTTCTGCTTCCACCACCAGAGTTCTGGGATTAGAGGTAAGCTCTATCTCTCCCAGTGTAGACAGTGCTGCAGATGGTGGTCAGGGCCTGGTGCATGCTGGGCAAGTGCTCTACCAGCTCAACAACATCCTTGGCCGTCAGAATGCCTTAGTTCTCATGGAAATGATGTAATGAGACTGAGGACGATGACAACAGAAATGTATGAAACCAACCGTGGCTACCCTGCTCCCAGCCTTGGCATTGCATGGTTCTGTGACTCCCAGGGAATCATGCACCCGATTCTGTTTTCCTTTCACCTGAGTGTGAAGAAGAGGTTTAATCACGAACCCAAGTTCCTTGCTCCCCTCTTGAAAGGTCAGTGACCCAAGGACAAGTGGCTGGAATGAAGAAAGGCATTTGGTAAGCCAGTAAACCACGCATTGTTTTGAAAGCACTGAGGAGGAACAAGGATGGGGACTGGAGAGATGGCTCAGAGGTTAGAGCACTGGCTACTCTTCCAGAGGTCCTGAGTTCAAGTCCCAGCAGCCACATGGTGGCTTGCAACCATCTGTGGTGAGATCTGGCGCCCTCTTCTGGTGTCTTGATGTACATGTAGACCGTGCACTCATATACATAAAATATATAAATAAATCTTTTAAAAAAGAAGAAGGAACAGGGAAGGTGAAGGGGGAGGAGGTAAAGAAGGGAAGGGAAGCCTAGTTGTTCATTGCTAGCAAGCCTCTTCTGCCCAGAGCTGTACCACTCTCCTTCTCACTGTGTCGACAGCATGGCAGAACAAGAGCTGATTCCTAGAATATAACTATGAGGTACTATCCAGCAATAGCAGGGGAGATCTGTAACTCCTTTAGAAAATTATTTTATTAGTCCTCTTCCTCTCTCCCTCTCTCTCTCCCCCACAGTGTGTGTGTGTGTGTGTGTGTGTGTGTGTGTGTGTGTGTGTGTGTGTATGATGTATGTACAGATAACCACTGAGGCCAGAATAGAGTACAGAGTATCAGATCCTTGGAGTTGGAGCTACCTGCTGACCATGTTGAACTCTCTGAAAAAGCAGCCGGCACGATTAGCTGAGAGCCTTCTGCCGAGCTCAGCTCCTTTGTTTTTTTAATTAAGATGTTATTGATGGTACTGATAAAGATGAAGGTGATGCTATAAGACAGAGGCTGTTACTAATAGTTGCAATCTTGCCTGAGGTTACAGAAGCAATGCTGTGCCGTGCATTGTAAGGAAGCTTCTCAGAGAGGGGTCAACACACAAACCCTTAGGGACTACTTTTCTGCTGCACAGGCTGGTAGATATTCTGGGATATAGAACTTAAGGAGCGAAGTTATTATGGAAGGTATTATGACTCAAGTCCCCCTTTTTCTCAGGAATAGATAAATCTGTAATTAGTTGTCAGGAAAAGGATGTCTTTCCTTGGAGGTCTAGGAGGAGATAGAAGTGAGGAACTCTCCCCAAGGACAAGGGGAAATCACTGAAAAGCCACCATCACCAGACAAGATATTCAAATGCATCTTTTCATGAGGCATAGTCACCATTAGGTTGCTTCCCTAAGAGTCTCCCACAGCAGCAAAGCTGGGGTACACCCACAGCTCAGTGCTCAGCCATGTGACCTCCACAGTTAAAGCTGTCAACATAACTAATGGCACATAGAACCAGGTGTTTCCAGAGATTTCCTCAGTAGTGGGCAGAGTTCCAGGGTTTTCATTGGCTCTCTGCAGCTTCAGCTAAGACCTGCTATTTCTTCCTATTTCTTTTCAGGACTCGCTGTGTAAATCAGGGCTCGCCTGCCTCAGACTCTGCCGTGCCTGTCCCAGAATGTCATATGTTGAAGGGGTTAAGAATCAAGTTTAGGATGGAACATCACTGGAATAAGTTCAAAGAGAAACAACACATGGCTCTTTTGGGTACGTGAACACAATGTATGACTCTTACAGTTTGGGTCCATGTTTTAAGAATTGAAATGTCTGTGCACTCAACCAATAAAGGCTCAGTTGTGAAAAAGTAAAGAAAGAAAAGGAAAGGAAAAAAAGAATCAATGAGGGAGAGAAGGAGAGAAGGGAAGTGAAAGGGAGGAAGCAAAGGTATTGCACTGTTCACCAACCTTCCGGCTGTTGCTCCATCCTCCCTTCATGCTGTGGACCCTGCTAAGTCGTGGACAGCACTCTAAGCTTCAGCTGGTTCAACAACACAGCCGGCCAAGAGGTGGTTCCTTGAATATAAACATGAGAAAGTCCTCCAGACATCAGGACAAAATATGTCTATCTTGAATGCATTCTCTAAACTAAAATTTGTAACCAGGTTTACTGTTCCATACGTTTTGTTCTTTGTTTACTTGTTTTGGTTTTTTTTACCCCCTCCCCAAACATAATATTTTTATTATTTATTTGAGTGTTTTGTACAATAAACCCCGATCACACTTGCTTCACATTCCCCCCAGGTCCACCTTCCCATCCTTGTGGCATGCCCCCACACACACAAAAAAAGAAATAGTGCAGAGAGGAAGCTATTGAAGAGAGCCCCTAAATTGTTTTTAACCTATAGACTGGCCATTTTCCTACGGACTTTGAAGAGCGTCCACTTGTATGTAACTCGAATGTGAATCTCCAGCATTTCCTGACGGTATCAGCACAGTTTAAATGTGTTCTTGGATAGAGGGTTATTGTCCTACAAGCATTCTAAATACATCTTCCTCACAAGTTCCAGCTCTTATTTGTAGCGGATGGGGGGAGGGAGCGGAGACTGATGGCAAATGTCATGGAAAACTGGGGAGATTTGTGGTTGGTTTAACTTGATTGAATCGTGTTTTGGGGATTGGGGGGGCTGTTTTTTTAAAGTAGGACAAGGTTAAAGTGGCATGGGTAATTGGCAGAATGTCCCCAAGCAGGGTTTAAGGACCGGAATCCAAATCTAGGTCTGTCTGAATCCAAACCCCACCCTCTTTCCCCTGCCTTGCTCTTCCCTGCGTCTGCTCTGGCATCTTGGTGCCTTAGATGGGACTCAGCGTCACAGAGTTTGTCTAGGATGCCTGAGGTCCTGGACTTGACCCCTAGTGCTACAAAATGAAACACACAGAAAAGGGTCCCCGGTCCCCTCTCTGCACCTGTCCTGCAGATTTAGCCTGCCTGCTGAAGACAGCAGACACCAGCAGTGGAGCATCCCTAAGGCCCCTCCTCCGCAGCCGCCGCCCTGTGCCCGCCAGCTGGGAGCTTCACAGAGGCCCGGAAGCCAGACCTGAAAGCACCGGTCTCTTCAGACTGTGATGTGTGTCCGGTAGAAAACACAAGAATACAGCAACCACGATGCGCACTTTGATGGAGGGTGTGAGATCCATCACAGCAGAGCGTCATCCTGACCGGCTCCGAGTCACCGCAGGTTCTCTGGAAACTCTGTCTTCAGGAAAAGACAAAGCCTAGGTGCTAAGAGGCGAACTGAAATAACATGTAAGATGTGAAAGAGCTAGCTGGACGCCCTGCCTATGAGTTTTCCCTCTGTTGCTGGGAGCCGGGAGGCTAAGAGGACTTGGAGGACCCTGTCAATGTGCAAACTGTACTGCATTCTCAAGTGGGGTCCTGAACTCTGACTGAGAACTCCTTGAGATAGAACAGTTTACTCCCTGGTTCCTCTTTAAGCAATGCTGACATCTAAGCCAAATGGCCAGTTAATCAGAATCCTGTTGGTACCATAGCTACCAAGAAAAGGGAGGAAATAACAGAAACCTAATCAACACCCCCTCCCCTAATTAATGAGGAAAATATCTGCTGGATAGCTGTTGCCCTCATTCTTTGAAATTTGATCTCTCTCCTGATCTGGGGCCACAACACTCTGAAGAGTAAGGCACTTGGAGAGCTGACATTAAAAAACTGAAGCAGACACAAATGTGTCCCCCAAACTGTCCCAACGAAAACAGGAATTGGGATTATTTCAGATAGACTCCAGTCAGGCTCAAGAAAACAGCAAGCTCAGTGAAAGCTTTGAGGCTGAGGGTGGTTTTTTTTTTCCTGTAGTGGGAGCCAAGTAAATATGTGCTTAGCCCCCTAAAGCAATGGTTCTCAACCTATGAGTCATGACCCCTTGGGTCAAATGACCCTTTCACAAGGGTCACATATCAGATATCCTGCATATCAGATATTTGCATTACAATTCATAACAATACCAAAATTACAGTTATGACGCAGCAACGAAAATAATGTTATGGCTGGGGGTCCCCACAACATGAAGAACTGCACTGTTTTAAAGGGTTGCAGCACTAGGAAGGTTGAGAACCACTGCCCTAAAGAATAGTGGGTGAGGTGGCAGGTCTCTAAGGGTCCTGTCTGCCTAGCATCTCACCCTGCTTTTCTTCATCTTTCCTGCACAGGGATCTAGGGTGACAGGAAGTGGGACAGCCCTTCTGATGTAGCAGGGTTGGCTTTCTTTGCCCTTTGCATCTGCTCCAGCCTGGGATGCTGGGAGCAGCTGTGTGATGGTCTGTGTTTTCATTTCGCAGAAGATCCGTGTGGATCGCCTCGGCTTCTGAGGCTTGAATGATCTGATTCTTGCAGCTGACTGACAGCTGAGTTTTTCACTGCCCTCGGTGTAGAAATCGGAATTCAGGTGCTTTTTATCATGCTGACGGGCCAGGACCAGGGATCCCTCCGCTCGGGTTTGTGTCTGTGGTTTTGTGGATTCTTGGCTTCCTTTAAAGGTAAGTTACTTGGGCTTATGTCCTAGAATATTTTTAGTTCCGTGCGTTCACTCTCTTATGTCCTAAAATGTTTTTAATTCCATGCATTCACTCTCCCTTTTCATCTTGTCTAGATCCAAATGACCAGATGACTTTTATTAGTTAGGTTTAACCTAACAGATGTGATTTGGGGAGTAGAGTGAGGAAAACATTTGAAATAAGCTGTAAATAGTTTTTTCATTTTTCTAACTAAAATGTCTCTTCCCATTTAGCACACAGAGTCATCTGTTTTTGAAGCCATTTACCAATATGCTCCACTTATTTATCTGTGGTTGTATGTAATACATTTTTCAAAGGGTGATTTATTTGTTAAGTGGTACTTATTACTCAGCTTGTGAATGCTCCCATTGTCGGTAACTGTTCTCACTAGGGAAACCTGTCTCATTGTCTGTACTAAGAGTGAGCTTGCTCGTTTTAAAAGTTGACTTAGACATGGCTGCTGTGCTGAGCAGATCGCATCCCCACCCTACCCCTCACCCTATCCCCATGCTGCTAGGTTTCAGGGGGGTTGATAGGGAGCCCAGTGAAAGAGTCTCAGAGGAGGGAAATAGTAAGAGTAGCAAGGAAGGTTTCTCACTGGCTTCTGGGGAAAAAAAAATGTTTTCATTGACACTGGCAAGAATGGCAGGTGAGAGGTAAAAAGTTTCCTTTCCTGCTGCTGTCCCGACATCCAGCACTTCCAAACGGACGCATGGAGCGGCGTTCAGTGAGGAACGGGGCAATTATTCTCTGTTCGTTTCGCCTGGTCAGGTTTTCAAGCCCATTCTTTTTCCCTCTTTCGAGGTACAAACCCTTTGGGGAAATTCATGGCCTAATTTTTGTGGCGTCAAATATGAATTGTACAAAACAAACTGTAGGGATGTGTTCCAGTGGGGGGTGTTGGGGGAGTGAGTTGTGCGAATTGGAGGGGAGAAACTAATGCATCCTTAAGGAATTAGAGTCGCAGGTGGCACTACTGTCCAGAATTTAATAGCTAAAAGGGGCACTGAGAACCAATTTGCAATTGCTTTTAAAGGATTTTAAGTGAGTTTACTTTAAAAACTTGACATTCTCACAAATCTAAAAATACGTGATTCCAAGGTATATTTTTTTAAGGGCACAACTTTTGAGGACCTATGCAATGATTAGGTACTTTGTTTGGTAAGGGTGCCAGCCTTGCCATTTGTAAACACACAGACTCCAGAATTCCTGCAAAGCCACTAGTTCGGTGGTCATGCTGTGAGTTGCCTTTAATGAAAAAAAGAAAATGTCCCTCCTCATGACTTTCGTCCCCACGACATTTTTTGGTGCCCATGACTTAACAGGCAGTCTCCTCAGGATCGCTGTGGACATTGTACTGGTTCTGAGATGATGCCTATGTAGTTGTTTCATCTCCGCGTAGAAACAAAGCAAGCAAGGTTAAAAAGGGAGTGGGGTTGAGCGGCCCTGGTCCAGCTAGGAGGGGGCCTGGATGTTACAGTGATGAGACTCTGACTGAGACCCTAGGCTTGGACCAGGAGAGGAGCCAGCTCAGACCCTCCCACAGCCCTTCCCTAATGCTTTCCTCCATCTGCCACACAGGCTGTGCAGGCTGCGCGTCTGAAGAACAGCTTTTCCACACACTGTTTGCCCACTACAACCGATTCATCCGGCCGGTGGAGAACGTTTCTGACCCTGTCACGGTGCACTTTGAATTGGCAATCACACAGTTGGCCAATGTGGTGAGTGCCTCCGCCTCCAGGGGTGGTCCCAGAGGCCCGAGTTCCTGGCGTTCTTGCGCTTTGTGCACCTGATGGGCACAGAGCTCCATCAGACAACTTAAAAGTGAACGCCAGATTGCATGTGAAGGGTCCCTCAAGGCCCTGCGTAATGCTGTCCTTGCTCAGGCTTTGCATGATTAGAAGTTCTTTCAGAGTCAGATTATAAGATAAAGACATGAAGGTGAGCTCGAGGTGAGCTGAAGGGCGTGCCATACTCTGTGACCTTCTGTAAGTTCACTGGGATCGTGTTCAAGGGCAAGCAGAAGTGGAACTCTTTTGGTTTTACTTTTTTTTTCTTTCTAAATAATCTTGCTTTTGTCCCAAGGACAGGAGATGGAAGAGTCTGATTCTCAAAGTGTAGCAGGGGTCTTAGCTCCAGGCCTGGACTTCAGCCCCAATTGCACTAGTAGGTAGACTAGGAAATTAAGGGAAGCCTGGAGTGTCACCAGAGAGGGCATTAGAGATGGCTGTCATACACATAGAGGATGCCTGTCACCTTCCAGCCCAGGCTGAGGATAGGGAAGGGGTCCTCCTACCCTACAACATCTGTCCTGTGGGTGCATGGGGGGGGGGTGCCATCTCTAGGTATACTTAGAGAAAGACTTAACTACAATATATAGGCAGACACCTGTAGTGGGTAGCCATTCCAGCTTGGATCTGGAAGTTCCAACCCCCATTGAGACTCTGGCAACTGACTCGAGGCGGGGCCAGGGGAGGCGCCTGGAGACCCGAGAGCTGGATGGGCCAGCGCTCTCTCTGTGCCGGGATGCTGAACAGTGGAGGTGGACTGTGCAGAGCTCCAGAGAACACCGCTGGACTGCGATACACCTTTCCCAAACCCTGCGACCTACCTATCAGTTAATTTGTGAGTTACACCATTAAATAAATATCCTTTTAACTACGTGGAGTGGCCAAAATAATTTCACCAATAGACACCACCAGGCTTCTCCAGTCTACACTGCCCAGTGGACTGTGTTGATCCAACCTGGTCCTTTAACTCTAGATTGGACGTGTGCCTATTCTGGTAAATACTGGCTCATGTTTCAAATGCCAGATGTTTCTTCTTACCTAGTTAGACCCACTGGGCCCGTTAAAACCATTTATTTTGTATCTGTTCTGACCCCTTCTTCGTTTTACACTGGGCAGGATGCATGTGGGCTGGGCTACTGGAAGAAGAGAGCTAAACTGAATGTCACCTGGAGTCTGGAAGGGCCACCCCTCTGTTCAGCTTTACTTCACACCCCCGATGATGAACTCTCGAAAGACAATTTTCTTAGGTTGGAAGGATGGCAGCAGGTGGCCCTGATATGTGGATTTTGACATTGACATGGGACACTAATATAATGAGTATGTGGCCTGTGGACAGCTTAAACAAAATGAGTCTATTTCTCTTTGTGTAATGGAAATATACAGATTGATAGCCCAGGCGAGTAGCACGTGGTATCATCAGGGTGTTAATATTGGACCACTATGTTTAATTTTAAAGTTTTATACTGCTCCACTCTAGGATTTGCCACTAACATGAGCCATGATGTGGGAAGCATAGCCAGATTCGTCGACAGCGGCACAGTTCCGTCTGTCTCTTTTGCTGTCCTGGACATACCAATTGTTTCTTTGTGTTGCTTCACGGTCTGAGACAACTACTCTGTTTCCTCTCTTCACATTCATATCCTTGGCAAGAACTGGTAGGAAGAAGCAGAGGAGCAAAGGGGCACACACCAGACACCTGTAGCTTTTCAAGGCTCCATCATAGAAGTCACCCTGACTTTGCCATTGTCCGATAGGTTTCTCTAACTGCAAAAGAGATCTGAGGGAATACAGCTTGTTTGTTTGGAGATGGAGTCTTGGTAGGTAGCCTACACAGGCCTTGAGCTCTCATTGACTCCAAGGCTTGATCCACCCAAGTGCTAGGATTCCAGGTGTGTTGTACCACTGTGCTGGTACTTTATAAAGTAAATTATATTAATTGCAAGTGTATTGACTTAGATTGTTATATATTCCAACTCAGTCGTGAGAAATAATAAAGATCCCATGGATGCTTTCCCAAGTTTCTCCCTCATCTTTCCTTCATTTCTAAAATTGGCAGTATGGGCTTCATGTGGAAGCCTATACCTGGAATCCCAGCCATTGGACGGTAGAGGCAATGGGATCAGAAATTCACAAAAATCTATGGCTACATTGAGAGTCTGGAGCTAGCTAAAAATATATGAGACCCTGTCTCAAAAAATAAATAAATAAAATATTAATACAAAATCAGTCATAGAATATGTGCACTTGCAGAGCTGGCCTTTCACTCAACATCATTCTTAGGCTTCTCCTCTGTGTGTTGACTACATCAGTATGTGTTCCTTCCTGTTGCTGGCTCATGGTTCATGGTCATTCATGGTCCACAATTTGCTTAGATGTTGAGGAACATATAGGCTGAATCCAGGTTTTGCCCTATGAACACTGGTGTGCATCATTTTGCATAAACATATACTTTCATATCTCTGGGATAAATGTCCAGATTCTCTGGGTCATGTGACAGTTTTGTCAGATGAGCTCTGTCTGACATTGGAGTCAATGAGAGCGCAAGGCCTGTGTACGCTACATACCAAGACTCCATCTCCAAACAAACAGACAAACAAACAAAAGAAGCTTCTTTTCCTCAGATCTCTTTCACAGTTAGAGAAACTGAAGAGATGGAGAACCTATCAGACATTGGCAAAGTCAGGGTGACTTCTATGGCAGAGGCTCGAAAAGCTACAGGTATCCGATGTGTGCATTGTGGAGTGTGATTGAGAAGCTTCATTACTTTCTAAAAGGGCTTTCAGACCCCTGCTGCTGTCTATGTCTCCAGATGGGTCTTCCATCTCGGAGAGCTATGCACAAAAGTATTTGCAGTCCTGTGAGACAGCCTCAGCCTATGAATCTTGAGAATACATGATCTTTCTGTGCAGGAAAGATGTAGGAGCATGCTCTCTTTCCTCGTGAAAGACAAAGTCCCTGTGCAACATTGCCAGACCTGGCAGAAATGCCAAACCTAAGCCACTGTAGAATGTAGGTTTATTGCAGCTTTTCCAGAAACTAGTGCATTTGAAATCATGATTCAAAATGGTACATCTGGGAGTCAAATAATATTTCCCCAGTAAAGAGGTATAGGCTGATGGTTCCAAGAACAAAGTGTGGTTCTGTCCATCTCTGGCCTCCTCCCCTGGTGGGTCTCATTGAGCACAGTGTCCAATGCAGTGGTCTGGAGTTGCATGGACTCTATGATTTGCTAGAACACATCCTGATCCATGTAGTTTTCTAACACTTCTAAGGGTATGGATACCTCATGGATGCACACCTCATGGAGCTTATCCAACCCAGGGAAGTGTGTCAGGGGGAGCAGGCCTGTTGAAGATGGTATTGCTAATGAGTGTCAACTCCCTAAACACAGTGAATTAGTCAGAGATACATCAGGTTTTGGAGAATGTGCGGGGCGTAGGTCAGTCACCTCTAAGATCTCGTGGAACTGAGGCAGCTGAGCTCATCTGGTTTTGACCAACAGCTAGTGCATATAGAAAGCAGAAGCTAGAACTGACAGATTCAAGGTGACTCAATACCAGAAGGCCCTGATCAAGAAGGGTAACCGTGAAGCTGTGAAGGCTCCATTTCTCTAACTCTTCATGTTAACCTTTGCAAAGCTCAGGGCCAATGATGGCTCCATATGACCCACTTGATGGGGAGAAGCTTGGCATAGTCTCTCTTTGGACCTCTCCAGGGTGGGTGGCAGTAACCATGGGGTGAAGGAGTGGAGCCCAGCGAGGGACTCAGTGGAGTGGGGAGAGCTACTGTCAGAGCCCTGCATAGAAACCTCAACAAAGCTGGGTTCCTTCACTCTACTGGGGCCTCAGATACCTTGGGGAGCAAGATATTGGAATCTCCTGCTGACTGCTAAGAACCTACCATCAGGACCCAAGCTATTGTGCTGTGACCTTCGTGTCATCTAGGTGTGTCTCTGGTAGCTTTCCTTCTGAGAATCAGTGGCCACTTAAGAATCATCTTTACTGAAGATGGTGACAGGAAATGCTTACATACCACCTGCTCTGACTCTTCTTACATCACCTAAGGGGCTGCTTGGACAGTATCTCCTCCAAGAAGCCTTTTTTTGACTTATATAAAACAGATGTGTGTGCACACATGAGTCTTGATATATCTACCTCTCCTTGATATATCACATTGTATTTTATGTATGCATGTACATATGTTATTAGTCTTGTGTCTTCCCAACCAACAGCTAAGACCACAATGAAGGCAGGAGCTTTGTCCACTCTGTAACTGAGCAGAAAGTGGCCACTCAGTAAGTGTGAGTGTCCTTTGTATTGTTGGGTGTTTTTTTTTTTGTTTTGTTTTGTTTTTTTGTTTGTTTGTTTTTGTTTTGGTTTGGTTTGGTTTGGGTTTTTTTGTTTTTTGTTTGTTTTTTGTTTGTTTTTTTTGTTTTGTTTTTTGGTTTTTGGAGACAGGGTTTCTCTGTGTAGCTTTGTGCCTTTCCTGGGACTCACTTGGTAGCCCAGGCTGGCCTTGAACTCACAGACATCCATCTGGCTCTGTGAGTGTCCTTTGTAGCTGAAGGGTACTTGGGCTAGGGAAAAGAAAGCATAGGGAGTGGACAGCCAGATCCAGGTGGCGAACTTGCTAGTGAGATGAAGCTCTTGTTTCTGTGTGGATCCCATGGCAGATGCACACAGGGAGTTCAAGGCTTCTTTGAGGAAAGGACATGGGGCATGTGTAGAAACAGTGAGCACCTATCACCACCCACAGTGCTTCCCCTCCATTGTCCCTAAACCTCTGCCCTTCCCCCTGTCTCCTTTCATGCACCCAGGAGGCTTTACGGGCTGAGATGATGAGAAAAGATTCACAAAGGAGGTGAAATTCAAATGAGGTTTTGTGCTGGTATTGTGTCCCCCAAAATATTGTGTACCTTAATAAACTTATCTGGGGTCAGAGACAGAACAGCCACTAGATACAGAGACTAGAAAATGGTGGCACACATGCCTTTAATCCTAGCACTCCAGAGGTAGAAATCCCTCTAGATCTCTGTGAGTTCAAGGCCACATTGGAAACAGCCAGGGGTGGTGACACATGCTTCTAATCCCAAGAAGTGAGCCTTTAATCCCAGGGAGTGATGGCAAAAACAAAAAGATATATAAGGCGTGAAGACCAGAAACTAAAAGCTTTTAGCTGGTTAAGGTTTCAGGCTTTGGAGCAGCACAGTTCAGCTGAGATTCATTCTGGATAAGGACTCAGAGGCTTCCAGTCTGAGGAAACAGGATCAGCTGAGGAACTGGTGAGGTGAGGTGGCTGTGGCCTGTTCTGTCTCTCTGATCTTTGTTGCTAGAATTTTCCGCCTTGCCCACAGTCAGGACAAATCTTTGTCACCCGCCAGTCCCACAGCCGCTCAGACCCAACCAAGTAAACACAGAGACTTATATTGCTTACAAACTGTATGGCCGTGGCAGGCTTCTTGCTAACTGTGCTTATAGCTTAAATTAGTCCATTTCCATAAATCTATACCTTGCCACGTGGCTGGTGGCCCACCGGCATCTTCACATGCTGCTGGTCATGGCAGCATCTGGCAGGCAGTCCTTCTGCCTTCCTGTCCTTTTATTTCTCCTCTCTGTTAGTCCCGCCTATCCTTCCTGCCTAGCCACAGCCGATCAGGTTTTATTTATTGATCAATCAGAACAACTTGACATACAGACCATCCCCCAGCACAGCCAAGTGCAGACCATCTCAAACACCTGCACTCAGGCCCATGGTCCTAATCATCCTCTATGCGGACCTGCTGGGTAACGCCACAAAGAACCCAAGAAGGGCTCCCACAGAACATACAGAACATCCCACAGCAGATCTTCCAGTGTTCACCCCAATACCTGGCTCAGGTTTGATTTTATTAATAAGACTCTCTAAGATTCCTGCTACAAGGTTTGAGCGACATTGTAAAGCTATATGTCATTTCTAAGTCAACAGAAACTTCATACTTGCCTTCATTAGACAATTAGCTTGCTTGGTCAATTTTTAGCTATAATTCTTGCATTAAGACTTGTATTAGCAAATACATAGAAGGCTGAAAGTAATATTTCTCCCCCTCCAGGATGAAGTCAACCAGATCATGGAAACCAATCTGTGGCTGCGTCACGTATGTGTCTCTCTTCCTTTGAACTGTGTCCACGTGTGTCCACTCAGTGATAACCCCACCTACACTGCCTCTTTCCCTACCTAACCTATGATGGATATAGAATATCCTCCACCTTGCATCTCCTAATCCTCGGGCTCTCTTCTGGTTGCAGCTAGCTTATTGGAGGCAGCGCATGGGCAGAGTCTAATGTCTTTGACATAGCATCCTGTGACCTTTCTACCTTCTGCTCTCGGATCTCTTCTTATCAGCTACTGCAGTCCCAAGTCCAATGCTTACTTTCCTCTTTGATAGCTCCAGGGGGTCTGCAGTTGAGATTTAGAGAACATATTACATAATCAATATCTGGTTTTTACAAGTTATAGTGTCTTTGCTCTTAAAAGTTTAAATAGTTTACATAGTGCAATAGACTCATACTCACACATACAAATTATGCTTTTATCATAAGAAACAAGTTACTACTCCAGTTTTGAACCACTGGAGTAGTCCATAAAACATGGACTTGATCTTGGCCAGTTAGCTTGTTATAGGTATGCCAAAATCTGCCCAGCTATTTATCTTCCTGTGCCCATGGTTATAATTCCCTGCTTTGAATGGAAATCAGTGTATTCTTCAAAATATCTTATTTTTTTAATTAACGAAATTATTGAACCAACATAAACATTTGGGAAAAGTTCTGATGGCATTTTTCAAAAAGGATTTTTACCCATTTTAAAGTGAAAGGGGCTTGCAGGAAGGAAAGGGGTAAAAGTCGAAAGGGGCTGGGATTGAGGTTCAGAGAGGGCAGAGGGTAACAGTCCTCAGGACCCCCAACGCACATACACTTGTTACAGAACAAATTTAACAAAAGCTCAGAACAAAGCAAGACTACTGCCACCACCAGAAACGGGTCTTCATTTCTTTTCTTTTAGATCTGGAAAGACTACAGATTGCGCTGGGATCCAACGGAGTATGATGGCATTGAGACACTCCGTGTTCCAGCAGACAAGATCTGGAAGCCGGACATTGTTCTGTATAACAAGTACGTGTGTGTAGATGGATTCACGGCCAGTGTTCAAGACCTTTGGCCCTTGTGACACATCCTCTTGTTGCTGACCGTGTGTGGTTTTCCTTGCAGCGCTGTTGGTGACTTCCAAGTCGAAGGCAGAACCAAAGCGCTTCTGAAGTCTGATGGCATGATAACCTGGACCCCGCCAGCCGTCTTCAAGAGTTCCTGTCCCATGGACATCACCTTCTTCCCTTTTGATCACCAAAACTGTTCCCTGAAGTTCGGCTCCTGGACTTACGACAAGGCTGAAATTGACCTCCTGATCATTGGCTCTAAAGTGGACATGAACGACTTTTGGGAAAACAGTGAGTGGGAAATTGTCGATGCCTCGGGCTACAAGCATGACATCAAGTACAACTGTTGCGAGGAGATTTACACAGACATCACCTACTCCTTCTACATCAGGAGGCTGCCCATGTTTTACACCATTAACCTCATCATCCCCTGTCTCTTCATCTCCTTCCTCACTGTGTTGGTCTTTTACCTTCCTTCTGACTGTGGCGAGAAGGTCACTCTCTGCATCTCAGTTCTGCTCTCTCTGACCGTCTTCTTGCTGGTGATTACCGAGACCATCCCATCCACCTCTCTTGTGATCCCACTGGTGGGTGAGTATCTACTGTTCACCATGATCTTTGTCACCCTGTCCATTGTGGTGACTGTCTTTGTGCTGAACATACACTACCGGACACCAGCAACACATACCATGCCCAAGTGGGTGAAGACCGTTTTCCTTCAGGTTTTCCCCTCGATTCTGATGATGAGGAGGCCTCTGGACAAGACCAAGGAGGCAGATGATGTTAAAGACCGAAAAAGCCTTCCCAAGAGACCTGCCAAGGTCAAGTTTGCTCATCGAAGAGAGCCCAAACTTCTGAGGGAATGCTGTCACTGTCAAAAATCAAGTGAGACAGCTCCTGGCAAGAGAAGATTGAGTTCGCAGCCTGAGCAGTGGGTGACAGAGAATTCAGAGCACTCACCAGATGTGGAAGATGTGATCGATAGTGTTCAATTCATAGCAGAAAACATGAAGAGCCACAATGAAACAAAGGAGGTAAACATACCCCCCTTTTCTCGAGCCAGCTGAACCCCTCGCAGGCCTCTAGGCACTTTAGAGACTAGTCCGAGCATCAGTGGGAGTTATGTTTGTGGTACAGTCAGACAGAATCATCTAAGAGCAACTCTATTATCATACAGCAGTGGGGACCCTGGGTTAGAGTTCAGGGAGCTACAGTGAGATGATATGTAGCCCTACCTACAACACATCTCCAATCTGCATTTACTTACAACAAAATCCAGCTATGTTACACATGCAGGACAAGCTTGATTCACGGAACAAGCCCCAACACAGCACACAGTAAACAGAGAGGGTGAGGAGGGAGATTCCCCAAGGGGAAGCAGAACTGGCTGGGATGCTGCCTGAATTCGCAATGATGAAGGATGTGAGTGAGCTCCTTAGCATTCAGCAGCTCTGGCTTCCCTCCCTCCACTAGAGATAGATATAGACACGAATCAAAGGCATCTAGGAGATGTGCCCAGCATGCACACATTCTGCTCCTGTCTCCCACACTCTCATGCCAGCAACTTGGGTCCCCCTTCCCCAAAGCAAGAACTCAAGAATAACATGCCTGCTCTCCATGCCACCACTTGACTAGCTGAGGCTTCCAAAAGCTCTTGCCAAGTATCTGGAGTTGTTTTGTACTATAGCCCCCTGTATCTTTAACTCCTAGTGAAAGGATGTCAAGACCCCCATATTGGTTTAGTATTAAGGCAACTCCACATAGTTAAAAAAGAGGTTTATTTTGTGGGGTAACTTACAAGTAAAGGGATAGGTTACAGGGTCCGGGAAAGGCATAGCTCAGGCCAATGGTGTTCTCTTGAAAATTCTGCTCGGTCTATCTCCAGCGTCCAGGATCCAAGAACCAAGAGAGCCAGCGCATCCGGATCTTGGTTCTTAAGGGCTCTTGTCTCAGTCCTGCCTTGTAGCCTTGTAGGCATGACAGTTACCGAAGCCTCAATGGGGGTAGTACTTCCAGGTCAAAGCTGGAACAGCTACCCACTACACCCCCAAGACTGCCCTGTTGATGCCCTAGGAGACAATGAGAATGCTAGTCATAACACACATCACAGGACAGGAATGGCCAATGAGCTCTCCTCCAAGCTGGCACATTTTCATATGTAGGAAATACAGCTACTGTTGACTTATCATGCCATGCGGGTCCCATAATACACAACCCACAGGGACCAAAGCAGATGGTTAGAAGTTTAGAACTGGAAAGAATTCCAGATATGTGAAAGCTCTCCCTGTGAGCATCACTTTGAGACCTGGAAGCTGCTTCTTTCTGTGTAGGGGGTCCTCAGTCACACCCCGCATCCTCCAGCCTGTTCTCTCATAGCTTCAAACTCAGACCCCCAAAGGGCCAGGCTCTCCTTGTGCACACGTGACAAGAGTTGAAATCTCAAGCAGATATTTTTAGGAATTGTCCCTGAAACCAGAAAAGGACCTTTGTCACGGGAAAGGGATCATAAAAGTCTTCGGCACCATCCATAGCCAGCTCTATAAGCCACCCATGGTATATATCTATCCACCATCCTCAGACAATGAGCACCCTATAGGAGACATGGGCAGGCAAACATAATATCAATAATTAATTTTGAATGTACTGAAGAAAGTTGCTTTGAAGAAAAAAAAAGAAAACACTATTCATAAGACAGAGCATGTTTTCCTATGGTCTTGATCTTTTGTTTGTATTTCAGGTAGAAGATGACTGGAAATACATGGCCATGGTGGTGGACAGGGTCTTCCTCTGGGTGTTTATAATCGTCTGTGTGTTTGGAACCGTGGGGCTATTTCTGCAGCCACTGCTTGGGAACACCGGAAAGTCTTAATCTGTATTTTCCTTTTGCCTTCTGAATCTTTTAGATGTTGTGTCTGTTCTGAACTACTTACCACAAGAAAAGGCCAAGTACCCAGTCTCCTAAACCCCGACAAGAAGGGGAAGGGGGACAACATTACAACCTTAGGAGCCTGAATATATGTCTTTGTAGTGCTGGGTGTCCATTAGAGTGGTTTACCACCTTGGCGCCCAGAGCTGGTAGTGCTCCTAGGCCAGAAGCACTGACTCAGTTTCTCCATGCTAGGCATTCTTTGTTTCCAGGAACATGAATGGTCCCTCACAGAGCCGGGCCCCACAGCTAGCATCAGTCCACACTGAAAAGGGATTCTCTTGCATCTGAAGCTCCTGTCCGTGGTTGCAATGATGTATAAGACTAGAGAGAAATTCTGCAACACTGCTGACATTTGCAACACCTGTCTGCCACTCCACCCTACTTTCTTGTGCGTGTCTCTGTGATGGAGCTCACACAATTCTCCGACACATGCGTGGTTCAAGAAGAAAATAGACGCTGTCTCTCTTAGCAGACTTTCAATTAGTTGTACTATTGGCTCTCTCACTGTGTGAAAAATCACCTGAGATAATTAGTGTGAAAGGAGGAAGTTGATGTGAATTCACGGTTTCAGAGGATTTAGTCCATGATCACTAGGCCCCACTGCCTCTGGACCTTTGGGGAGGCAAATCATCATGACTGTCATGCCTAGTAGAGGGCAGCTGTCCCCTTTATGACAGCTACCAAGAAAGCAAAAAGAGAAAAAGAATCCAGGGTGCCAATGTTCCCCTCAGAGGCACACGCCAATGACTTAACTTCTTCCTATAGGGCCTCATGTCCCAGAAGCTCCACTACCTCCCAGTAGTGAAGAGGATTAAGTCTTTAACACATGTCCTTGGGGGTGATCCAAACCACAGCAGTATTGTTCTGGCAGGACATTTGGCTGGTACCCAGTACTGTGCTAGGTGCTACAAGGGTAACATGAGTAGATTCTTTCCCTTGTAAAGTTACAGCCTTTTAAAAAAGTCATAGAAGAAAGACCCACAGGACCAGGTAGTGGAAAAACCTAAAATCACTCTTGTGTTTCAGATAGGCATCTGTCTAGTCTTTTCCCATGAACCCTTCACATGCTCACTGCATAGAGACCAATAAAATCTTTAAGAAATTTTAATCTTCTGCCATTTGGAGCGATTTCTTTTCTGAGTGGGTGAACATTGAGAATTGTGTAGTGTTCCACTCCGGTTACTTGCAGGTGTATCTTAGACAGCAGCCCACGGAGTCTAGTAAAGGAGATGTTTCCAGTTCTACCTTTTCTCTCCCAGCAAGTCCTTGCTCATGTGCATAGGTAATTTCATGATTCAATTTTACCTTCTGATTCTGTTGTCTCAAAACAATATCAGCAACCTTTGGCAGGACCTGGATGATGGACTATCTGTCATCCTTGAGAGGTGGTCACCTAATCCCCTTTCAGGATGAGGCTGCAGAGGCAGCCATACCTCTCACTGGACAGAGGCTCCATGATGGGTGATTTGATGTGCTCTGGCTCATATTGGACAATATAAAGAAAGGGATCTCTGAGATCCTCAGGGATGCTGAGTAAGCCACAGGCCTTCCCAAAAATCCTCCACAGGTTGGGGGCCACCTTGGCCTGTGCTATAATAGTGGTCTAGCTACACCAAGGAGATGTCTTGGGTGGTGCCTCCATTCTCCTTCAGATCTAGGTGGTCAACCATGTGGCTTCTAGGGTTGTTTTGTTTGTTTGTTGTTGTTGCTGTTTTTTTTTTAATTAGAACATTTGTTTTGTTATGCTGTAGAAGTTCCTTACATGCTGTGCAAACAAATTCTCCATCCAGTGTTAGCATAAATATTGTGTGAATTGCATTGTAAGAATGACCTCAGACAGGGCCCAGAGGAAACCCATCTGAATGTCTTCATGCTTGAGTATGCCTTAGTGCTTGAGAATATGTCAGGCTTTCTGGCCCAGCTTCCTAGAAATTACCTAGCAATTATCAAAAGATTCTATACTAAACAAACTGACACACCTTTTAAATGAAGTATATCATGTTGTTTGTTTGTTTGTTTTTGTTTGCTTGGTTATTTGTTTGTTTGTTTGTTTGTTTGTTTTTGGAGGCAGGAGCACAACATTTTTTTCTGAAGAATAAGAGAAAGCATGAACTGAAAATCTGTAGAGGAGCATGAAATAAATCGTTAAATACATACTTAAGGTTTTTAATTTTTAGAATATTCCTTGATCATTATCCACCTTATTCATTGAGTCAGGACCTCCCAGTCAAATCCAGAGCTCACTGATATCCCAGTCAAATCCAGAGCTCACTGATTAAATAGTCTATTGCCAGCTGGTTCCAGGGATGGCCCATGTCTGCTTTCTACGGCTGGAGTTACAGGCAAGCTGCCATACCCACCTGACATCTACCTGTGTTCCGGAAATCCAAACTCCAGGCCTCCTGTTTATAGAGTAAGCCCTTTGACTGCTGAGTCACCTCCACAGCTCACTGAGTTTTGTTATACCAGTCTGAACAAGTTAAGAATCCAGTTATGCTTCCCCAGAGATCATAAACAGGCGCGCGCGCGCGCGCGCGCGCGCACACACACACACACACACACACACACACACACACACACACACACACACACACACACA